GCCGACTATTCTTTAGAACCTCTGAATATCTATTCTTCTAACCTTGGCAAGTTTTTGAACCACATATAAGAAGTGTATCTACTTTATTTCTTTGGTTTTATATAACACATTTTACTCTATACTGACTGTTTGTTGATTGGCTGATATTTCTCAAGGTCACTTACGATTCGTTCAAAGGTCGTACATAAAATATTGTCTCACATGGAAAAGGTGAACTGGTAACTCAGCAAGTACATAAAATGCACTTACTTTTATTAAGGAGAACAATGAACAACAATTAGCAATAACATTAAATAAATCAGTTGCGAAAATTAGAACGACACAAGTAAACGAACAATATTGTTTCCAATTAGATAATAATCGATTTTTACTCCAATATACATGAATATTTATACGAGTCTATGAAAGTTAAACTGGTTAAGACAATTTATGAGTGAATTAATACAATGATTAGACGATATCACAGGTAAAATGTACAAATTGATGATAAAAACATAGGTTTACTAGTAGTGATATGAATAACGAAATAACAGAAGCTCTAGTCAGTTGGTCAACACAGGGATTATGTCGAACTTGATTAAATAGGATTTAAAATAATTGTCAGAAACATCATTAAAATTACGTGGTGAAAAGTGTGTAAGTAATTAGATAATGAAGAATGGTCAGTGGATAGATGTGAAAAGCAACAAATAAATACAATGTGTAAAAATTTTTATAAAATAATTTATTAAGTTTTATTCAGTGAAGAAAGGGACAGGGCTGTCATGGGTTACTTCCGAACACATTAACCAGAGTTATAGGTTTAGATCCCTATAACCTAAGCTATTTGTAGAAAACGGGACCGAAATCTACTATGAAATGATAAAAGTATATGATCAATCACTCATAATGTTTTGATTTATTTGTTCTGTGGTCACTGACAACCAAGTTACCAAGATGGCCGAACCTATTGTTTCAACCTTGCCATTTCCAACCAAGCAGTAAGATGCTCATTCATTCGTTAATTCAGTTGCCTGAAAGTAAACCAAATATAGTTATCTTTGCAGGCGCAACTAGATTTGTAGATGCACATGGCAGAAGTGAACACATGTGACTTATTCCCTGTCTGAGTAGATATCAGTGATCTGTAAAACATTTCAATGTAAGATCAGCTACATAAAATGTCCTATTGACTGGCCTTTAATCTATCATACAGGACATCTCTGGTCACATTTCCGTCGTGGTGTAGTCATAGGAATAGGAGTTCCTTACGAGCGGTCAATATTTCCAACTTCTTTTTCAACACATTCGTGTACTTCTTTGTAAGGTTTCTGGGGAAACCTATTTCCGCCTGTATATTAATAATAAACTCTAACTACTTCTTTATGAAGTTCTGTGAACAGATATTTTTTAGCTCTGCTTATAAAACATCTGACCAGATTTCTTTTGTAACAGGTGGTTGTGAAACTATAGAAGTGTATGTAGTGACAAACAAGATCCTCATATACACCATTCCGCTTACTGAGCCTTTATCTTGTCAACTTAATACTTCCTGATTTTCCTGAAATTTTACTAGTTTTGTCTTTATCAATAACACGAACGTGAAACTGCAATATTCTGATCATGGAAAACAGGAGTTAACAGAGTAATATTTTGAATTTTTTACCCGATCCAAGCCAATTCAGATATTAACGAACCTATGGTGAAAACGCCAGTTCCTTTTGCTAATCATAGGTGTGTCTAAATTCACATTGAACACGTAAAGAAACCGAATACAATATTAAGCGTTTGCCCTCTTAGTCCTGACTCATAACGATTTAGCGGTAATAGTAAGTTACAACATTAAAACTATGGCTTGCTGGCGTACTTTTGCAGCCAGTTGGTTCGGAACCCTATGGATATTGATAACTTTACCAAGTTATGTCAGTCACCATACACGCAACCTTAGAGTGATTCAAACTTAAAAACTGAGTTCATGTTGAAATTGCCCGTATAAAAGGCGGCTTAGATATCTTAGAAAAAGGACAGAGAACAGCTATCTGTGCAATTCAATAAATCCGTTTGTAACGGCAAATAAATCCCAAAATAAATCGTTTTTTGGGTCCTCTCTATTGGTGCTGACCTCATTGGTTTTACTAGGCATATCCAGCTTAAGTAGCTAGGCCACGTATTCACACCATACTACAAGTGGGTAGGCCATGTTACACATCCGTTGCGACTGTTAGCTAGCCAAGAATAAACGCTTCCCAATAGCCTTTCAAATCTATCTTTGAACCACACTCCGACTCTGTGTGAAAAAGTAATGGTGCAGAAGAGGTTCTGGACAGTTCTACTAGCATTCGATCAGCTATTAATTTCATGTAAGAGGAGGAAAATTATAGCAGTATAACTTACATTGAATTTCAACGACATATACAAAATGTTTATTTGAAACAATTTTAAAGAGACATGGACAGTGACATTTCGATAGATCAACTTAAAAGATATATTAAAACGACACTTAACGCCGCCAAATTAAATGCGATCTTCTCAGATAAATCAATACTTACACGGTGAATCAAGGGTAGATTACCAAAGGTGGGATACTCCGTGTCTACAAAAATTTAACTGCTCCTGTGAGGCTAGTAGACATATCTTCAGAACCTAACTAAGCTTACCAACAGACGTTCACTAAGCCACAATGCCCCAACTACTGACGAAGCCAATGGGATATAGTTTCTGGAAAGACGGAATTTAAAGAAGCTCACATAAACACCTAAGTCTCTCAACACCAATGACCGTAACAAAAATATGTTAAGGATCGTAAAAGTAAAGTTAGAAATTGAACCAGTGTGTTAAGCTAATATTTATTCCCTCAGTAGTTACTTTAATTATAAGACATTGGAAGTTATCCCTACTGTTTACCATGTAACATGAAGGGCCACCGGAGCTCCAGTTTCTACTTTAAATTTACAAACTTCACCACTCAATGGAGGTAAATAGGGACTGTAATGTTTACAAAAATAAGGAAACACATAACTAGCTTCCATCTATGGACAACTCGGAAAGGTTAAAAGATTTTGACTTCAAAAATGACCTGGTTCTTCTATCCTATACACACCAACAAACGAAGATGAAGATGAAGTGTAGTAGCAGTCTCTGCATTAATAGGCCTCAACATACTTAAGGGAAAATCAAGATCTTCAAATACAATAAGGAAAGCACCAACTCAATCATACTTGGTGGAGAAACTATGGAAGAGGTGGAAAGTTTCACTTATCTGGGTAGCATCATCGATAAACAAAGAGGATCTGATTCAGACGTAAAGGCAAGGATTAGAAAAGTAAAGGTTGCATTCATAGAACTTGAGAACATATGGGTCTCAAAACAACTGTCTGCAACCCAATATCCAAGTCGAAATCCCCAATACGAATGTCGAGACAGTTCTAATGTACAGAGCTGAAACTTTCAGAACTACGACAACCATCGTGAAAGAGGTACAAATATTTATTTACAATTATCTACATAAAATACTGAATGTCCATTGACCGGATACCATCAACAAAAATCTACTGTGGGAGTGAACAAACTAGCTTCCAGATGAAGAGGATATTATGAAAAGACGTTGGAAGTGGATAGGACATACATTACGGATATAATCAAAATCCGTCACGAGACAAGTGACAACTCGGAGTTTTGTAGGGAAACGTAAAAGAGGAAGGTCGAAGATCACACTGCGTCGGGAATCGTAAGTCAACATGAAAAAGGTGAACAACAAGTGGAAAGAACTGAAAAGGATAGCCCAAAACAGTGTTGGATGGAGAACTTTGGTGAGCGGTCTATGCTGCTCCATGAGGGGTGACAGGTGTAAGTCGTAGTTGCCTATCTTTGTCAACCATAGGTGCACTGAAAAATATAGTGACCAAAAAGATGCTGTAGTTGGTTTAGATATAGTTTATTCCACAATCTCGAGGAGTCTCAATGGTGGAGATACTCCTTTTAACACTTCAATCTTTTCTAAGCATTGTTTGCAACATTTATTAAAGCTTACTCCTGACATCGACGTTCGAAATAATACATCCAAACGGGAAGTCTGATAAGGTTGTTTTTTTTAACAAAAGTGTGTTAGTCAGGCAGAATCAGACTATACTGGTTACAAAATCATTCAAATGCTGTACCCAAAAGACAAACGAGGGATCAAACGGTCATCATTGGTAGTAATGATGTATTTGGTCGTAGAAAGAGTTAGACAAAAGCTAGTTTGCCATAGTGGCTATCTAAAGGGCTTTAGAAAAGTCACATCAACGAAACTAACTGAATCACTTCCAGCTGATTATATGTGTTAAGACTAATTGGGTCACCGTAGTCACTATTATTTTAATATGTAGCATGTCTTTACCACGAAATGCAACTCCTCAAGAATGGTTCATTTTTGGAATTACCCCCAGTCTTTTAGGCGGAAACGCGATACAATTTACGGACTCAATATGATACAAACCACTGTAACTCATTCGAGATCTTATTCTACTAACTTCTGGTTTAGACTGTAAAACTATCCAAATTTTACGCTTGTGATATTTCCTATCTGTATCAGCTGTTTTCATTATTAAATGTAAGTAACTCTATAGGGTCACTGAGTCAGTTCATTTTCTCACTTTCCCATTTTTTGTCCAGATTTCCCCACACGCTATCCCAAAACACAATGTACCTTCAAACCTGACATGAAATACTACGTGTTCGCACTTCATCTGAAGATCTACTCTGAGGGTGATTTCGGTTATATAATTAAGTTGTGAATCACTATACGAAAGTGTTTTTTAAAATTTGACTTGTTTTCTCATATCGTGTCCTCTACTTAGAAACATTGGTAATTCATTTTTAACATACTCGAAATTCAGCAGACCAAATGATTCTCTCATTCCTTCCATAAACATTTTAAACTGAGAATGAAAATTGAAATATTGTTAGTTTATTTTCTGTTGTAGTTCTTTTGAGTTAAATTATCCGGCGGCTAGTCAAGTGGTCTGTTTAGAAGGTTTCAGATGGAGGATAGTTCTCCGGCTGTTAATATGGTACGTTTAGTTTGGTTGTCATTCAGTTTATGCTAGAATATAACTCCATCGGTTGAGGAAGAGCTTGAAAGTAAAATCAAGGCAAAATATCCAGGTCTCAACAAACAAGGTGTTGGCTCCCTGTTATTGCAAAAGCGATTGAATCGTGGGGTAAGCAACTTGTTCATTTTGTTATTTTTTTAACAGTTTACTATGTAAGTAGCTGTTTAGGATATCGGAAACTCCCCAAAATTAGTATGTGGGACCAGTCATATACTATAGATGTCATGTTTGGATTGTTTCATATCAACAACTTATACAGTGGATAATTATCAGGACTTAGAACCAACATTTTGTCGCCTCCCTTTAGTATCTGGTCTTAGTAAGGCAACATGTTTGCTAACTGATAATTGATGAGTTAGTCCAAACAGTGGATTGACTAGAGGTAAGTTTCTCGCTACTCCAAATAGTTTATTTCTCTAGACCTAGTTTTCCATGAGCGTCTATCTAACACTCATTTGAATCCTATCCATGCCTAAAATAACGAGCCATCCCACCAGATCTCTTTAAGTGCCTCATCCTTGTTAAGCATGCGAATTTTCAGTACTAATATATCAGCGAGACTAAAATGTATTGACGAACCATGGGATTTAAGATATGTCTTGGATTTTAGCATGAAATTCATCCACTCATTTGGCTAAGTACTATTTTGACATTATAGCTGGTGTCAGTTCGTAATGAAAACCTTAAATCTAGTTCCCAACCATCATTTGTAAGTCATGATTCTAATTCCTCGCACTGGTCTATTACCCTCATTTAGTTCTAGTTAGTAGATGGACATTTTTAAGGTCATTTTAGCGTTGCTCAAGGGCCGTCCATGAATTATAATATCACCAAGATATCTATGTTAATTGAGCTCCAAATCTCAGTATAACAGTCCACCAAACGAAATCAGAGGACAGGTCATAACTAGACGAGACATCGTTTTCTGAACTAGCTCCAATATGTTGGTTAAAACTATGTAACAGTAATATCCTATCAGTTTGATAACTCAAAGCGCAGTCACCAAAATTTGAAGAATTTAAAGAAATTAAAAGACAGTTGGTTAGATGCGAACCGATGGTGCACATGGGCTCCAGTATCCTGTGGGAATAAATGGCGTATGAACCAATTTTCGGTCACCGGCTACCATGGGACTGCATCTCCTTACGATGCTCCATTGCCTTATGAGTTAGACCTTTATGCCAAAGGCTCGAGGTGGCTCGTCAAGATAACCACCTGCCTCGGTCTGGACATCCAGGAGTATCACAGCCCACACACAAATTTGATAAGATGACAATAATTACTGAATATACTATTCTTGCTCCATTTAAAATTCAGACAACTCGCATCCATGTGATAACATTCATTTCTGTTTATTATGTACGACGTCACTTATCTACTTCTATTCTCACTTTGCGTATCCTTATTTTATAACCTATACAGTTGCTAGCCTATGGTAGAAATATTATTCTATCTAAACGACCTCAAGTCACTGCCTGGTCGAAAGTTGAATGTCTACACCGAATACGGATACTGAAAGTCTGTCTGAAACCAAATACTCCATTGAAACTGACTGCCTTCAACGTTCGCACACTTATGCAGGTTGGACAACAGATAGGGCTGGCTATGTCTTTAGAAAGTCTTAATATCGATGTTTGCTGTCTATCCGAGACCCGTATTCAAGACTCTGGTGTAGTACTATAAATTCGCTCTCCGTTTGTCGCTTCGAAAAGCTTGTTTTACATGCGCTTATCCGGGGACCCTGTGGCATCTTCGTCTGGTCTTGCTGGTGTTGGTGTCGCACTAAGTGCTAGAGCTGAGGCAGCACTAATCGATTGGATCCCCATTAATAGTCGGTTATGTGCTGTTAGATTAGAGAGTTCCATCAAAGTGAGAAGAAATCGGCGTGAGAAACGATGTCTTTTCGTCATCTCCGCCTATGCTCCGACAGATTGCAGCCCGTATGCAATCAAGGATGAGTTTTACCACCAGTTATCTGTTCTTCTCCAGAAAGTGCGTTCGACAGATATTGTAGTACTAGCCGGAGATTTGAATGCTCAGGTCGGGCGTCTAGGCACAGAAGAGAGTCGTTTATGTGACCGATGGGGACTTGTTGGTCGCAGGACAGTTAACGGGGACCGTCTACTGCAACTGTGCACAGACCATAACCTGTTTTTGGCTAGCACTAACTTTCGGCACAGTCATCGCCGATGTACTACCTGGCGTCCTTCCTCTGCATCTCAAGCCTGGACTCAGATTGATCACATCGCGATCAGCTACCGCTGGCGTGGTTGTGTACAAAACAGCCGCTTCTTTTGGAGTACCTATCTGAACTCTGGTCTACGCCAATCTTACCTTACTTTTCAGTGGCCAACGAAGTGATCGTTACCAAACGATTGATGTCAGCTAATTGGTTGCAACTTCTGTTGCAAGTAAGTATCGAACCGAGCTAGCTTCTAGGCTAACTACCATCCCACCGAAAAGTATAGATGAGCATTGGTTGCAATTGCATGACGCCATGAAAATGGAGGGTACAGTCAGTTGTGGGTTCGCGAAACGTCCCGCTTATAAGCACTGGGTTTCTTCAGGCTCCTCACAACCCATTGAAACCTGTCGGTCTAATCCGGGTGACCGTGAGTTGGACCACGAACGAAGGATGTTACGTAATGAAATCGGGCAAAGCTTGCGTAAGGACCGAGAAGCCTGGTGGTCGGAGTGTGCTAATGAACTGGAAGCAGCAGCTGCATCTGGTAACTGCCGGAAGCTCTTCCAACTCATCCGAGCCACTGGCAGCAAGAAGTCTGGTGTGAGCGAAACAATCTGTGAGGATGACGGGATGCCAATCACTAACATCCATCGACGTCTTGGACGATGGGCAGTTCAACTGGACTGCTGTTCCGGCAACATCGGTCAGACTGGCCTGCTCTCCATGGCCGATAACGACTGATCAATCAAGTAAGGCGGAAGTCCATAAGGACCTCCAACTCTTGAAGCACTACAAATCACCGGGCCCATATGACTTACCTCCGGCTCTTTTTAAAGATGGTGGCGACTTTCTGATTAAGGGATTGACGACGTTGTTTACAAAGGTTTGGGAGCTAGAAAGTGTACCAACGTCATGGAATGAGTCGATAGTTGTCCCTATCTTTAAAAAGGGTTCACGTCGTTCCTGTAACAACCACCGGGGGATCAATACATAGTCGACCACACCGAAACCAGCCTGCTGCAAGCGAGTCAATCTTTCTAGGGTTTTGAACAACGTCCAAAGTATGACAGAAGCCAATAGCCTGGACACAATTGGAACTAAACATATCCCCCGATAGTTGTTACAGGAACGACGTGAACCCTTTTTAAAGATAGGGACAACTATCGACTCATTCCATGACGTTGGTACACTTTCTAGCTCCCAAACCTTTGTAAACAACGTCGTCAATCCCTTAATCAGAAAGTCGCCACCATCTTTAAAAAGAGCCGGAGGTAAGTCATATGGGCCCGGTGATTTGTAGTGCTTCAAGAGTTGGAGGTCCTTATGGACTTCCGCCTTACTTGATTGATCAGTCGTTATCGGCCATGGAGAGCAGGCCAGTCTGACCGATGTTGCCGGAACAGCAGTCCAGTTGAACTGCCCATCGTCCAAGACGTCGATGGATGTTAGTGATTGGCATCCCGTCATCCTCACTGATTGTTTCGCTCACACCAGACTTCTTGCTGCCAGTGGCTCGGATGAGTTGGAAGAGCTTCCGGCAGTTACCAGATGCAGCTGCTGCTTCCAGTTCATTAGCACACTCCGACCACCAGGCTTCTCGGTCCTTACGCAAGCTTTGCCCGATTTCATTACGTAACATCCTTCGTTCGTGGTCCAACTCACGGTCACCCGGATTAGACCGACAGGTTTCAATGGGTTGTGAGGAGCCTGAAGAAACCCAGTGCTTATAAGCGGGACGTTTCGCGAACCCACAACTGACTGTACCCTCCATTTTCATGGCGTCATGCAATTGCAACCAATGCTCATCTATACTTTTCGGTGGGATGGTAGTTAGCCTAGAAGCTAGCTCGGTTCGATACTTACTTGCAACAGAAGTTGCAACCAATTAGCTGACATCAATCGTTTGGTAACGATCACTTCGTTGGCCACTGAAAAGTAAGGTAAGATTGGCGTAGACCAGAGTTCAGATAGGTACTCCAAAAGAAGCGGCTGTTTTGTACACAACCACGCCAGCGGTAGCTGATCGCGATGTGATCAATCTGAGTCCAGGCTTGAGATGCAGAGGAAGGACGCCAGGTAGTACATCGGCGATGACTGTGCCGAAAGTTAGTGCTAGCCAAAAACAGGTTATGGTCTGTGCACAGTTGCAGTAGACGGTCCCCGTTAACTGTCCTGCGACCAACAAGTCCCCATCGGTCACATAAACGACTCTCTTCTGTGCCTAGACGCCCGACCTGAGCATTCAAATCTCCGGCTAGTACTACAATATCTGTCGAACGCACTTTCTGGAGAAGAACAGATAACTGGTGGTAAAACTCATCCTTGATTGCATACGGGCTGCAATCTGTCGGAGCATAGGCGGAGATGACGAAAAGACATCGTTTCTCACGCCGATTTCTTCTCACTTTGATGGAACTCTCTAATCTAACAGCACATAACCGACTATTAATGGGGATCCAATCGATTAGTGCTGCCTCAGCTCTAGCACTTAGTGCGACACCAACACCAGCAAGACCAGACGAAGATGCCACAGGGTCCCCGGATAAGCGCATGTAAAACAAGCTTTTCGAAGCGACAAACGGAGAGCGAATTTGTAGTACTACACCAGAGTCTTGAATACGGGTCTCGGATAGACAGCAAACATCGATATTAAGACTTTCTAAAGACATAGCCAGCCCTATCTGTTGTCCAACCTGCATAAGTGTGCGAACGTTGAAGGCAGTCAGTTTCAATGGAGTATTTGGTTTCAGACAGACTTTCAGTATCCGTATTCGGTGTAGACATTCAACTTTCGACCAGGCAGTGACTTGAGGTCGTTTAGATAGAATAATATTTCTACCATAGGCTAGCAACTGTATAGGTTATAAAATAAGGATACGCAAAGTGAGAATAGAAGTAGATAAGTGACGTCGTACATAATAAACAGAAATGAATGTTATCACATGGATGCGAGTTGTCTGAATTTTAAATGGAGCAAGAATAGTATATTCAGTAATTATTGTCATCTTATCAAATTTGTGTGTGGGCTGTGATACTCCTGGATGTCCAGACCGAGGCAGGTGGTTATCTTGACGAGCCACCTCGAGCCTTTGGCATAAAGGTCTAACTCATAAGGCAATGGAGCATCGTAAGGAGATGCAGTCCCATGGTAGCCGGTGACCGAAAATCGGTTCATACGCCATTTATTCCCACAGGATACTGGAGCGTATGTGCACCTTGACGCAATAGGCTGACCGCCATAACCTTGAGGCTAGTCTGACTGAATTCGAAGTTAGACTAACTTCTTGGAGTAGAGAGACGAAAACTATTCTATCGCCTGACTGGCTGTTAATCACACGACTGAGAGAAAACAAGTGAACTGGGACACTACTCGATTTATTCCCAATTCCAATCTGGTTCCAGATTTCAGACCAGTGTAAAAAGATGCATGAATATATAGATGACTAACCAGATCACAACGCACAACATTTAGGAAAATACAATCATGTCCAAAACTAGAGATTAGCGTAGAAAATAGATCACAAAATATTACGTTTAAATTACAATAGCTTTGGATTAAAAAGGGCTATGACAGTGAATCGTACATCAAACGAAAGCTTATGATCTGTATAATAGACTAGGGACAAAAATGAATGTTTCTGTTCTTTCAAGCTTTGAATTGAAGTTAAATAACGTCCCCGAAAAATAGCTTCTGTAGTTTGTCAAGGCTTCTTGTTTCTCTGTTCATATCAGGTGGTCACCCAACATATGCAGGTAACTTTGTGTAGGCGTTTAGCTCTACTCACCAATGGGTTTCAGTTTAAAGCTCTCCATGTGTTTCATTTCTTCCAGTCCCAAAGTTCAACACACGAGCCTATACTTAGTTGTTGAGTTCCATCAAATAACTGTTAAAAGTAATTCATTCGTGACATTTTGCTTCTGTGAAATTTTATGAACCGTTCTCCTAGGGGTCTGTTTGCAGCATTTGTTTTTTCAGTAGTATCGGTAATGAATAATGATATAAATATCATTGTTTTATTAATGCAATGATGTTATAACTAGTTTGCGTTTTTGTTTTTGGTTAAATAATATTTTATACAGCATAAATACTTTGATTCTGGAGACTACAATATGGCAAGAGCAAAGATTTTGCAACAGCAAAAGCATGTACTCCCTCCTCAAACGGAAGAAGCTATTCTTCATGAATCGACGGGGGAAACTATGGCTACTCCTGACAGTGTACCTGCGGTTCGTAAAAAATCCATTCTATCTCCAAATGGTGTTGAGTCTGTGGTTAATCCTGTCGCTGTTTCCGCTGCATCGAAGGCTTCATTATCCCATCCAACCGACAGTCTAAGTCTCTTATCAACATAATTACAGTGCAGTGAAAAATGAACAATTTTCTATTTTCAAATAACTACTTATCCTTTATTTCATGACAGTACACAAAGGCAACACATATGTCATAAAGTAAAAGACTGTTCTTTTTGAACAGGTGGTTGTTTGAGAATAGTGGGTCGTTGTTTACTTTCGTCCTTGTCTATTTTTCCTCTCATGTTCTCTTCTTTTCCATTACTCAATTAACTTTATGAATTTGTAAAGACCCATCTACTCTATCTCTGCCTTCTCTTAATTGTAAACCACTATCTATGTTTTATTTATTTGCACAAAAAATTACCCAATGCATTTGTATCTGGTTAGCAGCACAAATCCCTAAAATCAAAAAAGCTATATTGATAACTGTATTCTGTGCTTTTCCTTGTTGTTTTCTCTAGACCAGTTTAGATCTTATCACTATTATTATGTCAATCTCCTATTCATGTGATTATATGCGTATATCATGACCGATTCTATTGTTTTTCCGTACAGAATTGATGTGTCTCTTTTCGTAACTTTAAATATGTAGGCGTTGGTACGTTCACGTGTTCGCTTATGACTGATATGTGACCTGGCTGATATCATTTCATAATGAATATATATTCGTAATAATTTACTGCAATCTCAGCTTTGTCATCTCATGTTTACAGTCACTTATGCGCATGTTTTGCGTAAAGCAGTTCACTGATGAATTTAAGTGTACCCGTTTCCACCCTTTCTACTGTGCAACATGTTTAAGCTTTTCTATGAATCTGAGTATACAGATACAATAGCATATGTGGTATATTAGATAACCATCTAATGAGTAACGGTAAGGTTAGGTGATGATGTGATTAAATTTGGTTAAGTTTTGAACCATTATTGGCTGGATCAGATCGGACTCAAGTTATTCAAACCAAATCGTCCCTCATTGTTCCTCATCGGCTGGAATAAAAATAATATCATGTAAGCCTTGTGATGGCTACATCGGATTATACCGGTGGTCCGTGAAATAATTGTTTATTAATCTGAGTCGTATGAGTTAGTGTTGACAGTTCCTAACATAGTAGGATCTGCCAGCCAAAAAAACTTTTGACGATATGGTTTTCAGTCGATGATATTGACTGGGATATCTTTTCCTACTCTAACAGCAATTATGCTTTTATTACTTTAAAGGTTTCTCTACCCTTAATCATTCTTATTACTCCTATGAAATTGCACGTGCGGATTACCAGTTGTAATTTTAAGTTCAAATGAACAGAGTCAGCTACAACGTAGGACCAGGCACATATATGCATCGGCCCAAGTTGCCACAGTATAATCGAAGATGGTCGTGCACTTTCACGAATTGGTTGAGGTTAGACATTACCACCACTGGATGCCAGCTCAGTGGTCCAGTAGGTTAAGCGTCCACTCGAGACTGAAGGCCATGGGTTCGAATCCCGCGAGGCGGGATCGTGGATGCACGCTGCTGAGGAGTCACACAATAGGACGAAGCGGCCGTCCAGTGTTTCCAGGTTTTCAATGGTGGTCTAACATCAATCGATTCATGATCTCAATCATAAGCTTAATAATCTCCACAACCCCTGTACTGATAATATTACAAACAGTTAGTTGCGAATTTATTTCACCTCAATTAACAATAATTGTAGACCATTCATGGAAATTTATGCTATGATAGGGCTGAGCTCAAATGATAACAACAATAAAATTACAATCTGGGAATACAGAATCCCGTCCAGTTTACTGATAACATAAAAACAACAATATTGATAAATCGTATTTTTATTTCCCTATCAATTGTCAACAAAAAACTAGAATAATGTGGATAGCTTGGAGACAGTAAATTTTTTTGTCAGCAATTGACTAATATGCTGTCATTTTCCTGTTAGTTAAGGATAGAATTTATTATTTTGTTAATGATGTCATCGTAAAAAGTTAGTTTAGCAAGATAAGTTAGCTACAATGTAGGATCAGGCACATATATGTATCGGTTCAAGTTGCCACACCTCATGAGCACAACAAGATGAAGGCCGGATTCATAGAAGTAGTTACTTCAATGGTAGTAATATATAAAAGAAAAATTGTGCATAATATAGGAAGAAAGAATTAGTTGATAGAATAAAAGATATGAAGCGATATTAATCTCATAGTTTAAGGGAAGACAAAGAATATGTACAACTTAGCGATTGTAAGCCATGTCACTCAAGTCTCCAACCATTGGTTATGATGGTCACGCGGACCCCAACCAAGTAGTCTGCATCTACCAACATGACTAAGACTAGAAGTGACTTTATGGATTAGTGCCACTTTTGGTTTGGCCGCCTCTAACTTTCAACCATTCCCAACACTAGTCAGCATTGTGCGTCGTGGTAATCGGTGTTCAGGCATACGTAACACGACCAAACCATCTCAGTCGATGATGATTAACAACCTCATCAACTGATTTACCATAATTCCCTCATACTCTGTGTGTAAACTCACTATTACTTACCCAGTGATCCCAGCAGACGGCAATATTTCTATGACATTTGTGATCAGGTACTAGTAACTTGCGAGTATTGTCTACCCTTAATAACAACGTTTCGCAGCCGTAAAGTAGAACAGAACGAACTGCTGCGCAGTATACTCGTCTTTTTATTGATAGATGGATATCTCGTCTTCACTATAGGTGACGCAAGTTGGCAAAAGCCAAACGAGCTTTTGGAATCTGTGCTGAGATTTCGTCAGACACCAAACCATTAGGGCTGATCAGACTCCTAAGATATGTGGAGTTGCCAACACGTTCGACTACTTTACTCCCTATACTTAGTTCAGATGTTGATGCAGGCCAGTCCTGAAGCAACAATTTGCATTTAGAGGGAGAGAAGTTCATCCCATACATTCTGCCACTGTTACTCGGTGCTACCAAAAGACTCCTCATTTTATCAACGTCTTCACCAAACAGAACTGTGTCATCTGCGTATTCTAAGCCAATAAGTGGACCTCCATGATGAAATTAAATAGAAATGGAGATAACAGTTAGCCTTACCGTCACATGATGGATGGTAGTTTCTGAATGTTTAGGACTATGTTTGGGAAAGCTAATCATCCTGTATTCGAGGTAAAGTGACTTTCAGTGGTTAAGTTAGTTTTTCCAAGTATAATTTGAGTGTAGCTACATCAAATAGTCTTTTCAACTTTGAAAATTACTTCAGTTACGGGCTTGTATACAACAAAATATAGTTGAAATCTAGGAAACAGTTTTACCTATGGTTTAAGACTCTTCACTTCTGCATAACCCTAAATACTTATCATTATAGATCGTTGAGAATAGTTCCTGGTTGTTTAGCTATTCAATTATAGATCGAAGATATCAATTAATCACAACGGGCGTATAAAGCCAGGGACAAAGGTTCGTCAACCACATTTTCCCATCTCAATACCCTAGCATGAAATTAGCAAGATGCGTAACAAAGAAGTCAAAATATCAGCATTTGTAAGAAACAAAATAATTCAGAAAGTTTTTAGTGGAGTTTTGTTCTCTGAGCTGGATGGTTTGGTCGTGGAACCTTCATCGTTCAGTAGAACGATGAAGGTTCCACGACCAAACCATCCAGCTCAGAGAACAAAACTCCACCAAAATCATCCACTTGAGCTACAAATCTTCTTTACCATCTCATAACTCAGAAAGTATTTATGAAATAACTTTAAAACCTGAGATGTGGGATGAGTTGGTCTGTACAAGTGACTGGTTCTGATCCATGTCACCCAACACCGACCGCTGATCGCATAGGCCTCAACCAATTAGTTTACACTTATCAGCATAACTCAGTTTTTATCCCGTATATTAGCTATTGACTCTAGTATTTGTGAACGTTTCAATTAACATCCATCATTTACTATACACATTCTTCAGAAAATAACCTTAACACAGACCAACAAAAACTAAGTATGTTTGAGTGATACTGTGACGCATTAGTCACTAAAAGTTATGTAATACTAAAAAGACAGTTTAGTAAGTAAATAATTCTTAAGTGCAAGAGTAATAGAGGAATTATGAGGAAACCGGTTAAGGAAACAAGTAGCGAAGTTGCTCCCTAATTGTTTTTATTTTATGAAATAAATTTATATTCAAAACTTTTTTTTCATAAAATAGAAACAATTAGGGAACATCACGAGGCAAGCTCTAACTTGGAATTCTGAAGGGAAGCGGAAAAGAAGAAGGCCAAAGAACACATTACGTCGGGAAATAAAAGCAGATATGAAAAGGATAAATAAAAACTGTAAAGAGCTAGAGAAGATTGCCCAGGACAGGGTTGGATAGAGAGTGCTGGTGAGCGGTCTATGCTCTTCCGCGAGGAGTAACAGGCGCACGTAAGTAAGTAAGCGCCAAATAAGATTATTGACTCGAAACTTCACGACTTTCTTCATGTCCAAAAGATAAGTCGGTGCTCTGTAGTCTAATGACTTGGATTGGAGATGGTAAATAACTTTCCAAAATCCCTTCATCTTATTCAAAGGATTGTTAATGTTGGTTTAAAATATGACTAAATGGAAATGCAAATTAAATTCATTTGATTAGATTTGGCAGAGTAAATTATTCAAATTGTAAATAAACTTCAACTACATTTGATTGATCACAGGGTGGTGATTAATGTCATGTGCGTCAAGTCCTTCTTAGTGCAAATCGACTGCTATCGACCAAGTTGCAATGTGGCCACTAGTCTAGGTGACTTAACATTGCATGCACTATGTTGAGATAAGACGGTGGTTGGAGGTAGTCAACATGGATCGAATCCGTCAGGGAGCACCGGTTCCCTTAAGATTACAGATACACCTTGCTGACGAATTCCAAGTAGCACGAAACTTGGGTCTAGGGTTTACTGTTAAATACCTCCAACCACCATCTTGTCTAAACTTCAACTACATTCCTATGATATAATCCAAGTGAAACTTTCTGGCTCTATCTATATATCTTATTAGATTTTTATTTTATTAAATGGCTACAAAGCTAGAGGAATGCATATATATATTGACGCACAGACAAATTCTTTCTTTACACACACTTCTATGGATCGACCTATTCGCATTCTTTATTAACAAACATATATACAGAGTGTTCATAATTAAACTAACTTAGTACTTATCCCTTTCCTAATACTGTAATCAATAAATATACATATACCTGTTGATGTATGTTTAACTTTTCGATAATCTTTTTTTTCCAAATCTGTATATTAATATAAAGTCAACTAACATACATCCTAAATGTAATCGAACAATACAATTTCATCATTTTACATTTAATATTTTATTTCAATAGTTGAGTCAATTGAAGCTAGACTATCATGGAAAACCTTGAAACACTGGATGACTGTTTCGTCTTATTATGGGACTCCTCAACAGTGCACATCTACGATCCCGCCCCCCGAGATTCGAACCCAGGACTTATCAGTCGAACCTATCGAATCTCTCTGGGAGTGATCGTGAATGCGCACTGTCGAG